GCAACACGCGCAATAGACCCTCGCCGAATCATGCTGTCGAAAACATTCGCCTATGCAGGTCTTGCAGTAGTCGCCATCCATCACCACATGGCTTGCCTGGCTCTGCGCTGCGCTGCCGTCGGCGCGGTGCATTTTGTTCCCTTTGTCCCTCTGCTGTCTCCCTGGTTACTTGCCCGCTTTCTTCGTAATGAAGAATGTATACTTTCATCATTTGTGAATTTGCAAGGCTTTAAAAGTCACTGTATTTCTGTCAACCCTCAGTAAGCGGCGTTCCCGGGTTCCCTTGCTCGCTCTCATGGGCCCGGGTTCTGGGAGGTGTGTTTTTGGAAGGGGGGTGGTCACCCAAATCGGGTCAATGTCTGGGCTGGATGACTCGAGCAGACTTGCTTGAATCTTGAATAGTCTGTTCTGTCTGTCTTTTGTCTCCCCTCAAAAGAAAGCATTTAGACACTTATTATTCAAACAAGACTTATTAGAACCAGGACCAGTCAAGGTAAAAAAGGATATGTTAGAAGAGACACTAGTCCCCAATTCTGATGTTCTTGCATGTTCCAGTCGAGTCGGGACAGGTTTGACAACGTATCACCGATATCCAGGCCGGCCGGTCAGTTCGCGTCTGACAGTGCTTCGAGATGGGCTCACACATGTGTATGTGTGTGTGTATGTGCACTCTAATAGTGATTCTCCCACCACAACGACGAACCTGAGAGTTCTCTTTTTGTTCGTTCCCAATGTTTGTGACGACGGGCCTCCGGCACGACTACGATCCAGGGTAACTAATATGGACAAGATCCCCCCCTGCTGCTCTCTTTGCCTGACTTGTTTCGTCCCCGTATCCTTATTATTCTCTGCTGGGTGCCAAAACAGAACAAAACCCTCCCTCATTGAGGAGGCCCTGTTCATTTCTACTCTGTACCTTTTCCGGGGGGCCCAGTGTGGCGCTTCTGGTTCACCATGATGCAACAGATTCCTTCCAAACCAATCCTACACTGTAATGTTTTCTTATTTTCAGATTTCTAACCCCGAGATCTCCATAATTTTCTCTCGGCATCTTAACAGTCCTTTTCGCCTGGGCTCTAGCTGGCTGCCTGGCTTTCTTGCCCGCTCTCACGTGTACTGGGCAATCCTTGAAACACTTATTTAGATGCCGGGTTGCATATTCACACAATTGGTGATTTTGGCGGGCACAACGGTAACCATGCCCAGTCTTTTTTGACCTGGTCGTTAACGGTGGTCAAATTATTCCAGGAAAAAAAGTGCCTACTGTACTCGCCTGTTTCTTAACGAGCCCCGCCTTATTAGGGGTTCAAGTGACTTGACTACATTGGCCCTTTTGACTATCGAAAGAAGAGGTGGCGAGTCTCACGTATTGGGGGTGTGGTTCCCATTTCTCTAGTGTAGCGAAATGTTGACGCTGTTGGACAAGCAGAATACTACGTCCCGTTTTCCTTCACGGCCGCAGCTATGTAGACCCGGGATGATGAAATCATTTGTTTCTCATGGGAGCAAACTGCCTGCCTGCCTGCCTACCAGATGTAATAACATACATTTGGCTCGATTCGGATGAATACCTGGGTAGACGCACTTGGCAAGGCCCCTTTTGAGGTCCCATTTCTGGCCAACATCACCGACGTCCGGGCTGGCTCTTTTGGCATAATTCGCCTCGCCAGCGTTACTTTTTTTAATGTGTGCCAAACTCTCAACTTTGGGCGTGCTTACCTGTAGATGGAATCGGGGGGATTACTGCATACTCACCAGTCACTTCCCTGATGATGGATTTCCGGGATTCTTTGATCACATCCTCTTCAGTCTCATCCCATGATTATTACTCTGCTGTTGTTAGCTGAACTTTTGCCGGCCCCCAAGTCATATTGCGACAATCGAAAAACCCCAGCCAGCCTTTGTAGGTATTCGCAGCCGCCGGATAGAGACTCCACCGGGGAGCAATTCATCAAGCCGAGCGTCACCTGCCATAGTCAGCCCAGCGATTGTGGAGCAATCTACGGGACCGCCAAAGTACGCTATTTGCTGCGGAGAAACCAGTGTGATTCGCATATCGTGTGTGTGTGTGTCTGGCGTCTCTGGTGTGTGGCCTCCACCAGCAGCCAGCAGCCCAGGCCTCTCGACCCTCTCTCACCCATACCATACAGTACATACGTGCATGCCAGGCGAACCCAGGAAGCCAGGAAGCATGACCCCGAAAGTGTCCAGTGCCAACGCTTCCTTCGTGCGGTGGGTTTTCGTCATCCCATGCAGCCCGTAAAGTGCTTAGCGTTCGTTTGCCAGAGGAGATCTGCTATTTCGGTTCCGTTTCTCTTTGTCTTTAATATCCTGCACACCTAGACCACGAACAAGCAAGCATAGCACGGCTCAATTACCGGCGAGCTCTTTCCGTATCGGATACAACGTGCCAAGGCTCAAGACAGCACTGCTGGAACAATTACCCTGCACCCTGGTCCCGTCATGGATCTTGTTGATTCTCCCTGTGCTGAATCATAATTCAAATGCGGTTCTCGATATATTGCCCGAAATTGCGCAACACCGCATTCAGTTCGTGATGCTATATTCATGTCTTATATTGTTGTAGGTCAGCATTATTCGTCACCATCAAGCATTGACCAATTCCCTATCATGTTGAATAATACGGCAGACCTCAAAATGCACACATTCGGCTGAAAATTAAACAAAGCATTGCGATGTGAAATATTTTTACGAATCCCAACAATTGAAACAAACATGACTATATGGGTTCTTATAGGTATCAAGGTCGCTATGAAAAGACCTCGAAAAACGCCTCATCTGAAGCCTACCGAAATGTCCTGAAAAAGAACGCCGTCCCAATGCAGATAGATGCAAGCGCACAAAAGATCCCCCACGACTCTTGTGCTCAGATTCCGCGGTTGAACACCACCATACCGTCCGCGCCACCCTTGCCGTGGAACTCCTCCTCCAGCTTATCGGCGTTGATGCGCTGCCGGGTCGGGAATGCCGCCAAGGCGAGCGGGAGTGCAATGTAGCTCATACCCAAGATCAGACCCAGGTTCACCGGTGTGGTAAACTTGGGGTTCTTCTTCAACCACTCCGTCTTCTGCAGCTGAACGAGAATCAGGGGCGGGACCACCATGATAGGACTGCTGTTGAGCACTCTGCTCACAGCGGTTTCGGAGACGGCAATAGTGGCAGCCTTCTTGCTCTTGCCGAGCGACGGGACGTCGTTCTCGGCCTTACCCTCAGTGGCCAGCTTGGCCTTGTCAGACTCGGAGAGCACAGGGAATACATCGATACCAGTGCGCATTTCCTCGCCACGCATCAGGAACACGTTGAGGGCACCAGCGGTTGCAACGGCCGCGAAAGGGACAAGGCGGCCAAGGATCGTGCGCGTAGCGGGCGACACGCGCTTCAGCCGGGGGACAAGCGAGTTAAGACCAACGGCCACGGAGCACGATGCGCCCACTGCCAGGCAGTAAGACTGTGCAATCTTACCCCACGATAGAGGTGTGGACTTATTTGCGTTTGCATTGTTGATGGCGACGTTGAGAGACTGATTGGCCACCTGCCATGCGATCGTTCCGGCTGTCTATTCAGAAAGGGTAGTCAGCACATGGAATCGCGAGCCAGGGATAACTTTGATGCAAAGGTGAACATACTCCGAGACCAGGTGTGAGCATACCGGCCGTGACGACCAAGTTGGACAGCACGAAGCAGGACATGCGGAAAGGCAAGAGGACAGGCTTGCCAGTATCTATTGCAAAGCTTTCAGTCAGAAATGCTGCATTTCATCCCATGGGTCGCAATGTTGCACCCATAGCAGACGTGTCGTGTGCTGTTCTCGTACCGGGATGCAATGTAGAGTCCACGATCTTCTTGGCCTGCCAGAGCTCAGGCGTCATGCTCTTGATCTCGCCATTCTTGTACTTGACGAGCAAGTCCTTTGCGTTATCGAGTCCTGCCTTGCCAGCGAAGAGGGTTCTGTTGTGCAGGGAAGCATTGCGTTAGCGAACGGAGATCGCTTGCAGGGCGAATTGAGGCGCGCAGAAGCTGTTGAGCGTTGCGCCTGAGAAGAATTGCTCACCTTGGATCCGTGATACCAGCCGTCTGCTGGACGCGACCCCAATAAGTGCTGAGATCGTACTGTGACTCGGGCAGCTCCCGATTGCCAGGAAGCGAGGCCGACATGATGCCTGCAGCTTGTGTCGCTACTGAGATAGGATGTTGTTTTGCCGTTTCCCGGGGGGCGGAGGAAGTTCAAAGGAATGAACGCGGACAGAAAAGAATGTGTAGAGAACCTCCAATCCCAATCCAGGGTCGCGTGCTTGATGTCGCTGAATTGGGATACTAACTGGGGATGATAAATTAATATAGTAGCAGTAGTAGCTTACTACTGTTATCAGAGCTATCGAAAATCAGTCGCGTCCAATTGGTTCCTGGCGGTGAAGGGGCCCAACCACAGCCAATTTCTGAATTATTTGCAGTGCAACGGGCCGGTGTCGCTGGTGTGTTTCGCAGAACCCCGCTATTGTCTGCCATTGTGAACCGCTGCAAGCCGTCGCCAATTGCGTACCTTGGGTCAAAGAGTTGTACAGAGTAAACACCATGATTTTCTGCAAAATACAACATGTTACGCTTTGCGCGGCAACTTGAAAAGTGATCGCCTATCATTTATTGATATGACTCCGCCTCGAAAAATTGGATTTGCGAGAATCATGGATAGCAAACATAATTAAACAAAACAGAACAAAACAAAACAAATGTCAGATGCGCATGTGCTCAGTGAATGTATTTCAGACGAGGAAGTGGCGTGCTTGCCAAATGGGATTACTCCAGTCGCATAACAAAAAGCGAAGGAAGGTGCGATTGGCAGAAGGCAGGCTTGCGCGGGAAGGTACATCGCGCATTATACTGAGCATCCGACTATACATCGATGTTGCACACAACGTCATCACCAACGACAGCAACGAAACAACAAAAAGCATCACGAAGAGCGTGAGAGCAAAAGAAAGCGACCGACGCAGGGATCGAACCTGCAATCTTCAGAGTAATGGAGTCCGGTGTACCGAAATCTGACGCGATGCCATTTCGCCAGCCGGCCAGATGCAGAAGGAATGTTTCCAACTGCTTGATGAAGTTTTGCTGCTTATTACACCTTATACCACGTTTGACAATGACTAGCCGCTTACAGCTGCATAGGATCCACTTTCGGACCAGGTAGAGAGGCACCTTGGCACAGTGTCATGCCCAGAAGCTCGCGAACCACACATATGTGCTTCAAATATGGACTCACACGTAGGTTGATGACCTACGCAGTCTTTTTACTTTTTACTCCATGCTGATAAGGATTCCGGGGCCGTTTGGGCTATTGGATTGATAGGCCAGAATTTCCTTGGTATGGGTCCTGGTATTGACTTACATGGGATCATCACAAACACAGGTACAAAAGCTAATGAGTTGCGAATAATGTTTCTAATTATAGCAAACCACAATACTCGAGTTATATAACATGTCAAAATTGTGACCGTAGGTAGAGACTTAACTTCCACGATATCGATGCAAAGTGCGCATTATCTACTACGTATACATCTCAACCATACGCTTGAAAATCTAACCGTTCTAGAATCAGTCCATGGTGCCAGCAAAAAAATTCCAAAGTATAATATTGGCGCCAGAAAATCCTCCGTCACCCAGAGAGGGCATAAGGTACAGTCCGGGAGTCCTGGTGAAACTGTACAGAGCACCGCTTAATGCTACCTTGATGTTGAGCACGAAGCCCTCTGTGAACACCACGAAAGAGCAAAAAGCTCATTATTAATCGCCTTCATCATGGGTTCAAGACGTAAACTAACCTCTGTGGGGCACGAGTATACAATTTAATACACCGTCAAGCTAAGTCATAAAGTCTAGCTGCTTTTTCGCCCAAGATCACGGACCAAATCCTTGACGAGGCAAGTCAAAATATGAAGCTGGAAAGAGTTCAGCAGTTAAATAAGCTCTAAGAAGTGAGCCGAACGTATGAATAACACGGACTACGAGGTTCTTCTGAGAGCTCACATAAGACACATTTGTCGTAGTACAAAAGATTGTGGACTGTAAATGGGAGAGTTTGGAAAAAAATAAAAAATATATAAAATATGCCCAAAAAAAAAAAAAAGGTAGAGAGTGAGGATGCTACTCTGCTCTCTTTTAGAAAAGCTTTTGCAGGTTTTCCACGCCCAGCAAACTCCGAGTCAAATATGGCAGGCTCACAACCAAACTGCGAAGGTCTGTATTGGAATTCCTACCGCATAATTCAAATCTTGAGCCTTTTCTTTGATCTCCGGTGCGCCACCGTTTCATTTAATCTTCATTGACGCAACGTTATGGAGGGTGCAGTGCTCTGCTCTGGTCTTCTGGCATTGCTACTGGGTATCCAGGCTCAGGCAGAACTTCTACGATGATCTCTGTCGCCTACGGCCCTTCGTCAAGGGGGTTGACCAGACCATTTTCGATCTCATGCGTGACGAGCAAAGTCAATAGTCACGTTGGCAACAATGGATACCGAGAAGTTCTCGCAGTACTTTGGCACTGCGCCGATGCTCCATATCTCTGGCCAGCTCTGCCGATCTCACGAAGAAAAAAGAGACTAAAGACATCAGCAAGAAGCAGCCAGAAATCACTGTGCAAAAAAATGAAGTTTTTTTTTGGCAAATTGGGCCATTCGTTCGTCGTCTACGGTTATGATTGTCGGGTCATGACACCGGGCCGGTCCTGGAAGAGACTTGAACATGATATCCAGCTCGTTCCAATTGCATAACGGCTCAGGGTTATGGTCTTCAGCCATCTTGAGCCTCTAGGTGTCATGTTAGTAGGAGATAGACGAAAGATTGAATGCGCTCACAGTGTTGGAACACACGCTTTGGTTGCGGTGGAAATGATGGCTGTTGTGTTGTGGGAATGAATCGCAGCGGCCGGGAGATTTTGTTTTTGATTCTCTGTTTTCTAGCCTGTCGTTTTGGGTGTAAAACGAGGCCATGGTGACTGTCAAAGCCAGCAGCAGAAACAGTTTGCTCGTCTATCTGTTGGAAAACCCTGTTATTGTTGCCTAGCGCGCCAGGACAATCCACAAGCTGCCGCTGGGTATTGCATTTCCCACTGGTCAACCATAAAGGTGAGTCTGGCTATATGTATTGTTCATCCACAGCCTTTCTTCAATCCTGCTAATAACCTATAAAAATCGATATTGACGTGACAATAATTGTTGATGAAGATTCCATATGGACCATATATCGGCAGCTGATTTGTTTAAGAATACTGGATTAATGTTTCTGGCTCCATCGTTGCCTCAATCGATTGACTATCTCCCCTGAAAAATATCTAAAGATGGATAAGTCTCATGTCAAGGTGCTTCGCAGAAGGCGGAGTGTCAAGTCCGTTGATTGGTGAAATGCGCAGTGAGGTATTAAAATCTTCTTTACAGAACTTCCAGTCGCACAAACGGCTTGTCAGCTTGTCTGAAAATCTTCTCAGTAGCGCTCATGGCTCGGAGGTCCTGCGGTAGATCCAGGAATTTCAAGTTGAGAATGAGCAGCGTAACGACAATGCGAAACTCCATAGTCGCAAGTTTACGTCCTGTAGTATCCATGGTCAGTCAGTAATCCTGTACTATGGCGAAAAGAGCAACACGCTTCATCGAGGCGAATCTTACCTGTGCAGCCACGGTAGCCTCCACCAAAGGCGAGCGATGGCAAGGCATACGGGCTGAAAACCTCTGCGCCGGTTTTCTCGTCCTTCGTCAGCCATCTTCTCGGCTCAAACACTCCGAGGTCCCGGCCCGGTGCACCCTGAATTCCATCTCCAAGCTTGCTCGCAGCCGCTTTGCTGCTGGTCGTCCGCATTGACTCGTCCACGGGAGCAGGAGCGTGATCAATGTGATAGTTCATGAAAATTTCTGCCCCCTTTGGTATCTTGCAGCCGAGAATCTCCGTGTCCACAATCGCCTGGCGGAGATTGCCCTTGGCAACACCAGAAAGACGGAAGCTTTCCTCGCATGTGGCCTCGAGGTAGGGGATATCTGTACCGAGTATATCTTCGATCGAGGGCTCACTGCTGGAAAAAGCAGTATTCAGCGCCCTGCGTAGCTCATCCTGTACCGCAGGATATGCTCCCATGAATTTGACAAACCACGTGAGGGCATTGGCAGTGGAGTCAAGTCCCTGATGACAATGATTAGCTGGAATATCTCGTTTCTGGAAAGAATACTGACCCCAACAAGCATAACAAACATTTCGTCCAACATGTTTTGGTCTTTTGTCGGATCAGTCATGGGGCGCTTGGCCTTCTTAGCCTCGAGAACCTGTCTCCTGAGGACCAAGTCCATCATACAAGTATCAGACCCTTCAGCCTCCAGAGTCCCAACCTCGAGACGCTGAAACCGGTCGACTGCACGATTCATCACCAAACCAATCTCGGTATTGACAACACGTCGAAATTTACGGAACCGGGGTTTGTAGGTCTCTAGCTTTTGCGCCCATTTGGGGACTGGAGTGTTGGAGTTGCGAGCAATCGCATCACCAATATAAAATACCTCTTCCTTGAGAAAGGCACCGCGAGGTGGTGGTTTCTGGAGATCTCCTTTCCCTTCCGTCTGGCTTCGCAACTTCTCGGTCTCGTGCCTCGTAACACCGGGCTCCTCGCCGACGACAGCAACCCAGATGGCATCCAAGGCAGCATTCTGAAAGTCTTCAAAGGCATTAAAGGGCTGATCTTTGGATGCCGTAGAGGCTTTGAGCCGCCAGAGCTCCAACAGTTCCAGCGTGGACTTGTACATGTTGGGAGCGGCGGCCTTGCGAAGAAACTCAGTGCTCATGACATCGGCCCACAACCGCTTTTGCGCTTTCAACTCGGGTGTCGTGTATTGAGCTAGTGTCGCATGCGGGAACATGGGAGAAAAGGTGTCAATAGCCATTGGCGCCTTGTCAAAGTCCTTATTGCGGCGAACAATGATATCTTCGATTTCCCGAGGATCTTCCAGTATAATTAATGGTTTTCGTATTCCTGGAAACAACATTTGGGCGATTGGTTGGCCCAATTTCTGAGTGGTGATGGAGAATATCGAGTACGAGAATTCCTTGGTCTCTTGTATGATGGGAACAAGATTGGGAATATCACCAGTGATGCGTAGCGCTGATTCCGCATTGTATGGTATGCCCGGATAAGGTTTGGGATAGAGACTGCGCCGGGCCAAGAAAACGAGCCCAACAAGAGACAGGCCGAGTAATACGTAGAGAATCATGTTTGCAACCGACCAACACGACTCTTGTGACCCAATAGCAATAGTCTACAACGCGTGATTTGATGAGAAAAGGAAAGAGAGTCAGTGACAAGACGAAGAGGGAGCGGCAATCGATATATTACAGCTTTAATACGTTACGTTGGTTGGGCAAGCACAAGCTTGGAAGAAAGACATGGGCGAATCAAAGACAAGGAGTCCGGACGTCGGGCCAGGTATACGGGCTGCCAGACCAATCCTAGAGTGCATATTAGACGGCAGGCATCTCATGCACCTGGACCGTTGGCGGGGCACGCTGTACAGCATGTATGATTGTATAGTCGTATGGCTAGCATGCAGTATGAAGGGGGCGCTAATCGACGCCTCTGTGATTGGACTGTTGGCCCACCTCAGTTGTTAACGTTGGGACCATCAATGCCAAGTATCACTAGTCTAGGGCTGTTGCGTATTGCCCATGCAAAGACAGCCACGGAACTTCAGGGCCTACTACTATGTATCCATCTTCACCAATCCTCAAAGTCGCGCAAGTAGGCTTGTTGTATGTATAGCAGCGCCGCACTTGATGACACTTGTGACATTATATGTAGTCTCTAGGGGGGAAAGGATCCTTGATACCTACCAACCATTATTCAAGATTCCGACGGTAGCTCCACAAGATCGTAGTTGAGCCTGCAGATGTGGAGTGCCCAGTTGACTGTCGACCCCAGCGGCAATTGGAGCAGTGAAGCAAAGGAAATGCCACGAGACAATTGACTATTTATACCTTCAAAAGTGCTCTAGCTATTTCCATTACAGTATCCACTCTTTTCATGGGCTTTTCAAAATGT